AAAAATTAGCTGGGCATGGTAGCACGCGCCTGTAATTCCAGCTACTTGGAAGGCTGAGGCGGAAGGATCCCCGGAGCCCAGCAGGTCGAGGCTGCGGTGGCCGGGAGAGGCCACCGCACTCCAGTCTGGGTTACAGAGTGAGACTCCAACTCAAAAAAAAATTTTATGCACCTAAGCTATAAAAAATAACTGGTTATCTCTAGCATCTAACATGGATTGAAGAAATCCCTCTATATATACTTTATCTATATAAGGGTGGTGTGGGGCAAAAACTGTTTTTCTAACCCTATAAACAAAGTATGTGTTTAAAGTCTCTAACATATGACCCCAGTTATCAAAACAGCACAAGGACAATTTTACCTAAAGAGATTAATCACCATGGTAACTACCCATTTTTAAGGGGGAAAATACAAGCTTAGCTCACAAAAACTTATCTACCGAGTCAAAGTGTGAAACAGAACTTACCCTTCTCATAGACTGGTATCGAGGAGCATGGAGCTGTACCACATCCTTCTGTAGAAGCTCTAAGGAACTTTCCAAAGAATAGCTGGAATCTCGCACACCCTTCAGGATATTTTCTTCATAATTATTTGTCATGACTGGTATAACTTCAGACACTTCAAAAAGTGCTGACTTTTTCTTCTACAAGAAAACAAAATGGTGTATTAATCCACTGAGAGCACACTTTTTTAACATGCAGTTCATATGACAATGTCAAATACCTTTATTCTAATTGAGCAAAATTCCTGTCTGAAGCAATTTTTTATACTAAAATAGATTTTATTATCAGCAGATTCTTCTGCTTCCCCATCCCAACCACACAAATAGGCTGTTATCAGAATGTTTAACTGAGTTTCAGAGCATTACGGTATCCATATAAAGTACTTAAGACAATAATGTTTCTTAAATACTGTGAGGAACAAACATCAGACACTCCCAAGATTTAAAAACAAAATTCAGTCACATAGTCTTGATAAAATTTCATTTAACTAGTTCTACATACAGCTAAATTAAAATCTCACTAGTTTAAAAAATAAAAACATAGCTATTCAGACAAACTAACTGTTTTATTATTTAAATGGGTCAATTTCCATTACTCTGGGTATTATATAACCACAATGTCAATGTTTGAAAGGCTAAAAAAAGTACATCAAATTGTTTCAAAATTAGTTAACAGCAAGTACTCATTATGAACCTAGCTTTAAAAATTCTGTACTATGAAGTACAGATCACAAACTAAACAGGGCTTTTGCACAGACACTGTCCATTCACAGAATAAAATCAGATTTTCACAATCGTTAAAAGAACTAGCTGGTACAAATTTGGGGCAATATATCATTTAAATACAAAGATCTGGTCTCACCACTTACATCTTGAGTCTGTTTAAAGAGCCAACATTATAAAATCAACTAAAATCTGATCTTATCCATTTTGCATGAACTTGTTCAAAGATTAAAAAAGAAGAGAAAGTGGTGACGTAAATCCTTGATACCACCCAATCTTGCGACACTCACTTCACAACAAATTACTTTGAAACCACTTTACAATGCTTTTATCTCTAGCAGCTAAGCGTTTTATCAAATACAAATAAATAACCTTTAAAAGAGTAGGAAAACCATCTGGAAAACTTCCAGGTACTAAATAGCAAATACTAAACAAATACCACACTAAGACTATACTTCTAATATGAAATTAGCTCACAATTTAAGTACAAAAATCCAAGTAGCACTTCTAGGTATACTAAAAATCTTCTATATGTTCATAACATTGTGTCAAACAGCCTTGTTGGTAAATTAGGAAACTGTCCATTTTAAGTTGCAAAAAAACACTGCTTCTGTCATGCTGTCCTTGACTACTCACAACTCATTGTTTGCTATTTAACTGTGGAAATAATTCTGATTAAGACCTCCATCTCCAAAAATAAAATTCTCCCTAGGTCATTTTGAATTTTTACAATTTTACTTCTAACACAAATTAACCATTTCGGTATTGAATTCCTGCTTCAAATTAAAGTATATTCTAGTTCATTATGTGTACCATGAGAAGACACCCTACATCATTATGTTGAAAAAAGACTGACTTTAGCATATAAACATTTTGATTCCAATTTAACACTTTTTCAAACATCCTATTTATATTTTAGATAATCTTTAAATTCAGTTATACATCACCCCCATGTAACTCCATATAAAGTAATGCTGACCACCCATGTCAACTCAAAGTGAACGCCACAAAATTTTATACTAAAATATTTCCAAACCAATAAATACAGGGGCCTCTCATTCGCTTATGCCACAACTGCTCAATTCAGAGAATCGCCCATAGGGAGAAGAACAAAGCAGACTTTTTCAACCACTCTTTAACCTAATATTTGTAATTACTTAACAGCAACAAATAATATACACTTACAAAAAAAACCACTTGTGCTAATTCACCATTAAGAACTTTAAATTACCTTCTCCTTGAATACAAAGGCAATATACATCTTGAAGTCAAACTGGTCAGCTAGAGATTCTTTTTTCTTTCTAAGCTGAGCACGTAGTCTGTTCAGAGCTTGTTTCTTCCGGGAGTTTGGGTCCCCCATTTTGAAATACAGGTGGTACTAAAGCCTTTGGAAATTGTCACTAAACTATGGGCGCTTTTTCTTAAGACTCAAGTACAACAGAAACAAGTCATTTTTTTTTCTGCTAATATGATTGAATAGCTAAAATCACGACTGTAACCCAAAACTGCCCCTTCTGGCAATATTAGCAGACTGTCATATTACAGGGTCAAGAAACAAAAGCTGCTGTCCAGTCATATTTGGACAATAACTTGTGGGATCAGACGGGGAAAAGGGAAGGGAGGAAGGAAAGAGAGAGGAGAAAATACTTGAACTAACTTTCTGGAATACGCATTTGGCTTAACTGCCAAAATAAAGGCTTTGGGAAGAAATGAAAAGCCTGTAACAGGATTTAGGTGTGCAATAAAACACAGCTGACACCAGTCCAATCCTTAAAATCCACCCAGATTTTCCCCCCTTTTTAGAAAAGGGATTAAGAAAAGGAACAGGGAGGGGGGAGTATGATCCTTGCTTTCCAAATACCCCCCAAAAAAACAAAACCACCAAAAACAAAACAAAACACCAAAACAGGGTAGGTGAATGAAACTGAAATATCCAATTGGATTTTACCCAGCCAGATCCATGGCTGTAGTACCTAATTAATTCTTAGTTATTTCAGATTTCACTATTGCTATGTATTGCCAGTGCTTGTTATTGATTACACTTGGTGGTGAGCAAAGACAAAAGTGCAAAATCGGTAGAGAAGGAAGGGGAGAGGTACAGGGTTTCCCTGCAATCAACTACAGTGTATACCGGGGGCGGGCAGCTGTTGCCCAAAGGAGCCATGAGAAAAAACAGCGGAGTCATTACCAACTTCCCCATCACCCACATTTTGACCCTCAGGCGGCTGCTAACGCTGCTGCCAAGAAGAATCATGATGGCAAAGGGAAAAGGGGGTATATAATACGATACTAATTATTCCGGCTCTGTGGTTAGACCTGATTAATGCCCGGGTTCCCAACAGCCCCAGTCCTGCATCTAGTCCTACATTCCCCAAGGGAGACTTCCCTGTGTATGTGCCCCCGTTCAAGATGGTGGGGAGTGCGATCTATCTTCTTGTGAGCATTGCTTACGCAATGGTGGCGGGTTCTCCTCCCAAATCCCAGGCAATGCCCGGGGACCACCTGCCTTCCGCCACCCCAGGTCCCACCCCCACCCCTTGCCTTCAGCGGCAGCGACTCACTCGCACCACGGGAGACACGGGATCACTCGGGTTTTCACTCATTTCATCGTGGAAACAATTCCCGCCCGGGTAGAGCAGGCGGGACAGGGTAAATGGGAAGGATCAGTGGGAAAAAAAGAAAATAGTTGTGTTAATATTACTTTTTAAAGTAAACCCACCCACCCACCCCACAAAAAAATTAAGTTCCCGGATTAGCTATCGCTCACGTTGAACAGACCATGTTTCCAGAGTTTGGATTGTTTTGGGCGGGGTCGTTAGTTTGTTTCCCGAGGGGGCAGGGGCTGGAATCGAGGCAGTTAGGGCGGGCTGGGTGACGGGGAAATCCCCTCCCTGTCCCCGCGGAGACCGGGACTCACGGACCGACTCTCGGCCGGGGGGTTTGGGCCCTCTAGCCGCAGCCTGCGGGCGGAGCGGTGGCGGCGGCGGAAGAGGCGGCGGCGGCGGGGGCGCTGCTCGCAGCACGGGCAGGAGCCATGTCAAGAGAAAACCACCAGCCAACTGAGCCCCTCCATCCCCGCTGCAGTGCGCACTGTGACCGGGCCGCCCGCGCTGCTGCCGCCGCTCAGCCCCCACCTGGGACCCATAGTCTGGCTCGGCGCCCCGGGCGGCGACGGAGGGAAGGACGCGGAGGCAGCGGCGATGGGAAAAGAAAAAGAGGAAAAACGAGGAGAAAGAAGAGTTGGACTGGTACTGGCGGCGGAGGGGGAGGGGAGGAAGGGAAGGGAAGCCCTGCGCTAAGGGGTCTGGTCAGCAAAGTAAACCCCCCAAAATAAAGTTATTTCAGTTCAAGCATCTGCTCCTGAGTTTTTCTTCCCCCCACAGTCGGATTCCGGCTCTCAGGAAAGAAGGTCGAGGAGACCCGGAGGGGGGAAAAGCCGAAGCGGCGGGTGAGCGTCCGCGGTGGCACAGCCTCGTTCCCCCCCACCGGTGGCTGCGGAAGCGGCGGCAGCCTCGGGCGCCTCCCGGTCCGGGGCAGAGTCGCGTTTGAGAAAAGAAGCAAGAACAAACAACTTAAAATGGCAGCGACGGCCGCTGCGTCACCCGCCCCTCACCGGCACCGCCCCGAGCCTTCTGCGACTGCGCGTCCCGCGGGTCTCCACCATCTGCATAGGCTCAAAGGGGGAGAAAGCATTGGAAGCGGGAAACGTTTCAAGGTTATCAAGGAAGAGGAAAGAAATTCAAGACTAGACGATATGAAATATACTTTAAAAAATTGAGTCCTTGAGGTTTAACTTCGCATTTTATATTCCCGCCTCAAAAGAGAGTTTGAGAGTTAAGATTCCCCTCTCCTCCAGCATGGAGTTTCCAAGGGGCGTGGAAAGGGGCTCCCCGCCACTCCTTCCGCCCCCTCCGTCAAGAAGTCCCAGTCTCCTGAGTTGGCTCTTCGCCCCGCCCCCCGTTGACGCCATAAAATCACGCCCTTATGCCCGCCTCGACAAAACACCCGGATGGAGTCGCTCTTCCTGATTCTTGTCAGCGGCTCCGACTTGGCTTGGCCGACGGACGTTGCTGAACCGGCGTTCTAGGCGGGCCAAAGCCAGGGAAATGGGCGGAGAGTGGATGAGGGAAGAAGGAAGAGGAAGGTGTGTGTTGGAAGATTGGGAGATAAGTCTTATCGTTGGTAGTCCTTCTGGGGGACCGTCGTATCTTGCGGCGACAAACCTAGAATTTATTTTCAGTACTTGAAATGTAAACGGCGTGCAGGAGAATATATCTCATGTTGGCCCCGCTTGACTCTCTGTCCCCACCCCGCCACGTGCGGGGACCGGGAGGGAGATCCTCGAGCTTGGAACAAGGTCAAAGACGCTGTTCAGGCGTTGTTACTTGGGAAAGAAGCAGCCGCGCCTGACCCGTGGATTTTTTTTCCCCTGTCAGAACACAATTTCTGTTAGGATCCCCCAGGACCTCAGACCTACATCTTGTCCCTTACCCGGTTCTCTTCCTCAATAGAGGGCACTGTGGAACGTTTGCCACTGAGTCATACGTCCTTGGCACCAAAGGGCGTCGATCCACTTTTCAGAGCTCTACCATACTCATAAAAGCAATTATGTAAGTAATTAGCAAAGGTCGATACTCCACGTAAGCAATACTTGAATACTCCTTTATTGGCTACTCAGATGAAATTTTGAAAGTCTGTTGGGCCCCCCAATTACTGCTTTTCACTTCGTGAAATCAAGTTAGCGGTCATAACATTTTTTTTCACCCATGAGGCAAAAGGATAACTGACAGCGGCCCTTCAATATAAATTGTCCAGAATCAAAGGATGAGATTACTGAGGTGTCCAAATTATTTCTAACCTTGAAATAGTGCTTTTCTAGTGCTTTGAGGATTTATTTTCGAAATCACTTGATAACTGTGGAATGCTCACATGGGTAAAATGGAAGACTTCACATCTTTTATGGCATTGGTTTAAACACCAAGAAGAAAAAAAAAAAAAAAGACTAGCACTGCCTCATGTGTTCTTGACCTCACCCTGGTTTGTATCCATGATTATCTTCATGGAAATATTTTTAAAATAACAGTTTTGTTGAAATATACTTGGCAGATCTTACTATTTACCTATTTGAAGTGTACAATTCAATAGTTTTTACACTCATAGTTGTGCAACCATCACATTATCATCACGCCAAGAAGAAACCCTGTACCCATTAGCAATAACTCTGCTTCTTTCTAATTTATGTTCTGTCTAAAGATTTGCCTTTTCTGGAAATTCATATAAATGAAATAATTCAACATGTGGTTGTCTGTGACTGACTTCTTGGCATAATGTCTTCAAGGTTCATTCATGCTGCAGCATGTATCAATATTTAATTCCTTTTTATTATTGAATAATATTCCATTGTATGGGTATTTTTTTTTTTTTTTTTTTTTGAGTTGGAGTCTCACTCTGTCGCCCAGACTGGAGTGCAGTGGCCGCTCCCGGCCACCGCAGCCTCGGCCTGCTGGGCTCCGGCGATCCTTCCACCTCAGCCTTCCGAGTAGCCGGAATTACAGGCATGCGCCACCACGCCCAGCTGATTTTTTTGATTTATTGTAGAGATGAGGTCTCGCTACCCAGGCGGGTCTCGAACCCGCGGGCTCAGGCAATTCACTCACCTCAGCCTCCCAAAGGCGCGGGATTACAGGCTGAGCCACCGAGCCCGGCTGGGTATTTTTTAAAGGTAAGAAAAATGCTGATTGGTCCTGTTTAGAATAGTAAAACACAACTGTTAAATACTTTATTGGTTATCTTTTTTTTTTTTTTTTTTTTTAGTTGGAGTCTTACTCTGTCCCCTAGGCTGGAATGCAGTGGCTGCTCACAACTACCGCAGACTCAGCCTCCTATGCTCAGCCAGTCCTTTGCCCCAGACTTCCAAGTAGCTGGAACCAGGTGCGCAGGTCTGGCTAACTTTTTGGTTTATTGTAGAGTCGAGGTCTTGACAAGTTGCCCAGGCTGGTCTTGAACCCTTGGGCTCAGGTAATCCTCTCACCTTGACCTCCCAAAGTGCCAGAATTACAGGCATGAGACACTGTGCTTAGCATTTATTGGCTATCTTATTGTCATATATTTAATGTATGTAAGCACAGATTTGAGTACTTATCTCTCAACTTGGTATAAATGTAGGAGATTGAAACATCCAGGGCTGGTTTTCCATAAGGTCTGAAGTCAACCTAGGAGCCCTACTGGACTGGCCTGGATTATTTCTTCAGGAAGGAGGCTGGTACAGGATCTTTAGAGGGTGTTATTTTATTGAAACAACCTTTGTGGTGGTATCTGCATTTCAACCAAGAAAATTCCACACAATGTTATCTACTGGTATAATTTAAAATTCCAAAGAGGAAATTAAGCAAATATTTTTAGCAAGATGCCGCCATCATTACGTCATAAATCTCATTGTTTAAAGCAGCCTAACCCTGAGTAAAACATTTCTTACATAATGAAATGCAGTTTTTCCACAGTTAGCGAAGCTAAGTCTTAAATGAGTTCTTTTATCTGAATTTCATTGAGGAATGTTATAGCTGTGGCTTTAAAATTTTTTACTTCCTTTGATTACCTTCCTATTTTATAGTTCTTCCAAGTTACAGAGAAAACTGAGCTATCAATGTTTTCTTCCTCCAGGATACATTGCTGCTATTTCTTGGCTTATCTCACTAAGACCTGGCATGGTCCCATAGCACACAGTGTCATAAGATTTGCTCAGCTGTGACCAGGTGTCTCCAATTCTGTTTCACAGTAGCTGAAACTAAAAACCTCATTTTTTCCTCAACATCTGTTCCACCCTGTTTTTTTCCATGATTGTTACAGTGGTGTAAATATTCTTCAGTGGTTTCTTAGATATGACAACAAAAGCACAAGAAACAACAACAAAATAGATAACTTTGACTTTATTAAAAACCATTTTTTTTTTGAGTCGGAGTCTCACTCTTGCCCAGGCTGGCATGCAGTGGCACGCTCACAGCCACCACAGCCTCGTCCTGTTGGGTTCAGGCAATCCTTCCGCCTCAGCCTTCCAAGTAGCTGGAACTATAGGCATGCCCAGCTAAGAACTTTAATAAAAACTTTTGTGCTGCAAAGGACATCCCCAAGAAAGTAAAAGGACAACCTATGGAATAGGAGAAAATGTTTGCAAATCATATATCTGACGGGGGACTTAAATCTAGGGCAAAAAACATTTACACCTCAATCATAAAAAAAGAACAATTTAAAAATGGGTAAAGCTCTGAATAGACATTTCTCCAAAGAAGATAAAAGAATGGCTAGTAAGCACATGAAAAGGTGCTTAATGTCATTAATCATAAGAGAAAGGCAAATCAAACCCACTAGCAAATATCACTTCATACCCACAAGATGACTACACTAAGAAAATATACAATAACAAGAATGCAGAGAAATTAGAACCCTCATACACTGCTGATGGGAATGTAAAATGGTGTTCCCATCTTGGAAAACAGTCTGGCAATTCCTCAAATGGTTAAAGATAGAGTTAACATATAACCCAGTAATTCTACTCCTAGGTATATATCCAAGAGAATTAAAAATATGTCCACACAAAACCTTTTAAACAAATATCCATAGCAGCATTATTTATAATAGCCCCAAAGCAGAAACAAGCTCAATGTCCATCAAGCAATGAGTGGATAAGCAAAATATAGAATATCCATACAATGGAATATTATTCAATAATAAAAAGGAATTAAATATTGATGCATGCTGCAGCATGAATGAACCTTGAAGACATTACGCTAAGAAGCCAGTCAC